ATCTGCTGAAGCCGGCGAGAAGAATTGCTCTCCATAAGCAGCTCAATGGCGGTACGAGCTCCAGTCAGTACTGCAGGCGGCAGCGTGGTCGAGAAGATGAACTGAGGAGCAAAGCAGCGGATCATGTCCACAAAGCGGGAGGAGCCGGCAATGTACCCGCCCACGACACCGAAGGCTTTACCGTTCGTACCAGTGATGATGTCGATGCGGTCCATGATTGTCGGCTTGCCACCTTGAGCAGAGGCACCGCCACGCATCTGAACGTCCCAGTCCAGGTGCTCAGCGACACCTGCACCGCGAGGCCCGTACATGCCAACAGCGTGCACCTCATCGAGGAAAGTAATGGCACCATACTTCTCCGCGAGCTCGATCGTCTTCTCGATGGGTCCAACCGTGCCGCACATGCTGTAGACGGACTCGAAGGCGATGAGCTTGGGAGTGTCTACAGGTATAGCTTGCAGCTTTGCCTCAAGGTCTGCCATATCGTTGTGCTTGTAGATGACCTTCTTCGCGCCCGAATGGCGGATGCCTTGGATCATGGACGCGTGGTTGGAGCTGTCCGAGAAGATGACGCAATTCGGAAGCATGGAGCCCAGAATCGACAAGGTGGCATCGTTGGCCGCGTAGCATGAGCCAAATACCAGCGCGGCCTCCTTGCGGTGAAGCTCTGCGATAGTGGCCTCGATATGCTCGACGTGCTGATTGTGGCCAGCAATGTTTCGCGTGCCACCAGCTCCTGCACCGTACTTGGCGAGCGTCTTGGACATCTCCTCGAGCACCTTGGGATGACGACTCATGTTCTGGTAGTCGTTGGAGCACCAGACGGTGATCTCCTGGGTCTCGTCTTGAAGATGTCCACGAGGCGCACGGTCGACCAAACGATTGATGTTGTTGAAGTAGCGGTAAGACTTGTCCGCGTGCTTCGCCATGATGTTGCGGTGGTAGAATTGCTCATAGTCGAAGCCTGGCGCCTGCTTGGGCTGTGGCGTGGGTGGAATACCCATACCGCTGCCTGGAGTGCGGGTCTGCTTGGTCTTCTTCTTGACAGCATCGGCGCGGAAGGAGGAGCGACCCTCAGCGGCAAAGGCAGCAGCTTTCTCAGCAGCTGCAGCAGCAGCTAGCGCCTTCGTGTGGGGGCATCTCTCCACGTCCCCAATGCCTCCAGTGCGGATGCCTTCTTGAGCGTGGATGCGGTCGATGCGGTCGTTGGGCACAATGCTCGCGAAGGGCGACTCGGTGCGTGCGACGTAGCCACGAGTTTGCTGCTGGTTGGCTAAGTGAGGGTTGAAGGTGGCACTGGCAGCGAATGGACAGACCGAAGGACGAGGGCTAGCAGTGCCGAGGCGGTTGGAAGCAGCAAGCTGCGCTGGGCCAGAGCCGAATAGAAAGTTTCCTGCAGCACTCGACATTGCCGGAGCAGCTTGTACGGCAGTCTCGGGATGAGAAGCGATGGCCTCGCTCATCACTGGGCATTGCTGGGCTCGAACCGCGAGGTGGGTGGGACCATCGCTGATAAAGCTGTGAGAACTCATGTTACGCAGCTGTGGCATCGGGGTGCGCGCCAGGAAAGGGCACGAGCTGCGCAACTGGCGCAGAGAGCCAAGGGTGCGCTCCATGCTGATGATTTGACGTGG